ACTACATCAGAAAAGACTAAGAATCTTGAGAGAAAGAAATAAGGCACTTGGAAATGATTATATGTAAAAGAGAAAGCACAAGTTACTGCTCAAAATTTACAGATAGTAATCTATAAAATTGAATTCATTAGTACACGGCCTTGGCAATAGTAACAATTCATTGTAGTCTAGCATTAAAAAAAGCTATTAGTTTACGCTTATTTTACCAGTAAGTGTTTATCAATAAAATATGCTTACTTTACCTGGGAAAAACAGGTTAAATAACTTAAGGAAAGAGTATTCAATAAATATTTTTGATTGACTAGTTTTTTTGTATAGCAACGAGAAGCTCAATGGTTTCTATAGATGGCTAAATGTTCAAGTTCTCCAGAACTTGTAAAATTTCTGTATTAGACATAAATGCAAAACAAACAAACAAAAAACCCCATCAAATCATAGTATATTAGAATGTAAGTTTGGGAGGAAAAAATTTAAGCGTAAAACTAAACCATAACAACTGACAATAGTAAGAGAACTGAAAAAGCACAAGAAAAGCATTTGCAACATATAATGACAGCATTAACGTCTTCATAAAGAAATCAATTAAGAAATTTCCCTGCAGAAAAATTGGCAAAGCATACCAACAGTTCACTCTCATACATACAAGAAATATAAATAGCTAACAAAAAAGAAAATCTTTTAACCTCTCCTATAAACAAAGAAATGCAAAAGCAAACAATTAGATGCCATTTAAACCTAAATAGAATTGGTATAGTGTGGAGAAACTGGCACTTACGCACTGGTGGGAAAGTGTTAGTAGGAATGTATACTGGTAGAACCATTCTGGAGGGCAATCTGACAAATGTCTATTAAATTTAACATGCATATCCTTGACCAAAAAAATCTACTTCTAGGAAATCTATCCTTCTGAAACATTCACATAAACATGAATACCCTCATAGTAACACTCACATGTAGTTTTCATACACACACACTGCAGCATTGAATCAAACACACGAAAAAGTTAGGCAGCAAATTATCCATCACCACAGAATAAGCAGGAAAAAGGGAAGATTTATAAAATCAAACAATCATGTAAAAAGGATAAGATAGACCTCTAAGTAACAACATGGAAAGATACCCACAGTAATTAAGCAAAAACAATTAAGTTGCAAACTAGTATCCATAGTACAATGTGCTGAACCACGTGTTGGCACACTACAGCTGGTTGGCTGCCTGACTTTGTAAATAAAGTTTTATTGGAACACAGCCATGCTCATTTATTGCAATGGAGACCGTATGACCCACAAAGCTGGAAATATTTACTATTTAGCCGTTTAAGAAAAAGTATGCTACCCCTGATACATACCAGATTGACTTTCTCTCTGCTCTACTTTTACTTATCTTTAAGTTGCTATTTCTGTAACATTTGAATGCTTCTGATAAACATAACATTTTCATAATCAGAAATAAGTAAAAGACATTTCAGGGAGTTGGTTAAATACCACGTGGCCATTAAATGATGCAGGTATATATTCACTGACATAGAAATATCTCCACCATATATTAAATTTTAAAACAGTTTATAAAATACTATGTGTAGATGGGTCTCATTTTTGCTTTTAAAACTGTGTTGTTATACACAGTTGGGCAGCACAGCACAGATAGCTACCTTTTAAAATGTCACAGTCATTTTGCTCAAGTAGAAGGAATTTTTTTTTAAGGATTTCTCTTGTTTCAAATGAATTGCTTGTTCATTGTTTCTAGGGGTGCCCTTGGACTAAGCAGAATGCAAAACAACATAATTTCTGCATATGTACCTCCATCTCAGCTTATATTAACTCCTTCATCTCTAGTTATCTAACTTTGATCCTCAAGAGCAAACATAGATTAATCCTCCTCACTTCATAAAAGCCATCAAAAGGGAGAGAAGAAAAAACAGAAAGTACCCAGGGCATTCCCAGATAAAGACGGTAAACTGAACAAAAGTATATAACCTCTGCTGACTCTGGATACCCACCAAAACAGTAAATGTACTTTTTTCTTTCTCTTTGAAGCATAACTCCATGAGGCCAAAGGTAATGAGAGAGGAAACAATAACAACAAAACTCCAGAAGATGGAAAGCAGATGGATGAGTATTAACTGACGTAGCAGACCTGAAAAAGTTGGCTCTTAAAAGAGAAGTAAGTGGCTGACCTAGCAGCACAGTGGTTAAGTTCGCGCACTCTGCTTCAGTGGCCCAGGGTTCCCAGGTTTGGATCCCAGGCACAGACCTACAACCGCTCATCAAGCTGTGCTGTGGTGGTGCCCCACATACAAAGTGGAAGAAGACTGGCACAGATATTAGCTCAGGGCCAATCTTCCTCAAGCAAAAAAAGAGGAAGATTGGCAGTAGTCAGCTCAGCAAAAGAAAAAAAAAGAAAAACTAAGAAACAATTACATTTTTTCCACAGAAGTCCACCCTTAAAAGGTCCAGGAATTGTTACACCAGGTATCAATGAAAATAGGGGTATAGAACGAACTGAAAACAGAAGGATTGGGTGAAAATTTATCTTGAAGCAATTTGATTCCTAAATTCTCTACACTACTCCAAAACTGAGCAAGTCCCTCCTCTATTGCAGAAAATCTGCGATGTATTTCCTGAAGCCAGTAGTTGAGGGCCTGGGTACCATACTGAAAACTGGGGGAGTAAATGAAAATTTACATAGCGAGTGCTGAAGCTCCCCCTCCTCCCCTAGCCTTTTGCTCTCACTCAGATTCCACAACACTTGGAGGCCTACACTCCCCAGCAAAAGACTGGAAGTCCCTCACTAGGGAATCTGACCAGCTGAAGAAGAAAGACCTAAATACACTGATATTTGCAAGACCCCAAAGAAACAGACACTGATATTGTGTAATAAAGAATCTGATTGGCCTTTGTCCCAGGTTCCTGCGAGGTAGCCTCTAAATGCCTGGAATTTCCTGAGTGATGAGTGTCTGTTACCCATGGTGGGCCCCTGGGACCACGCCTAATAGTTCTTATTAACAAGGTGACTCAGAGTGGGCCCCTAGATAGTTTGTGCTAATGAGATGACTCAGGATGGGGGCTAGCCATGCCACAAAGACCAACCATGTGATCAGGTTAGCTCTTCAGTAGATGAGGCGGAGGAGAAAAGGGCTGGAAATTGAGTTCAACCACATGGCCAGTGATTCAATCAATCACACCAATGAAAGCCCAATAAAAACTCTGGACATCAAAGTTCTGGTGAGCTTCCCTAGTTGGCAATACTCTCAACGTGGTCATACACTGATGTGCCAGGATGGTCATGTGTCCTGATTGCATGTGGAGAAGACGAGGAAAACTTTGCATTTGGAACTGTCTCAGATCTTGCCCTGTGGGTCTCTCCTTTTGGCTGGTTCTGATTTTCTTTTTGCTATAATAAAACTGTAATAGTAAGAGGACTGCTTTCAGTGAGTTCTGTGAGGTGAGCTGATCTAGTGAATTATCAAACCTGAGCGGGTAGTGGGAACTATCAAATTTGTAGCCAGCTGGTCAGAAGTGAGGGTGGCCTAGGGACACCCAAACTTGTGCCTAGTGTCTTTAGTGAGAGCAGTATTGTGGAGGATTATGCCCTTAACTTGTGCAATGTGGCCTAACTACAGGTAGTTGGTATCAGAAGTCATTGCAAATATTAAGGATACTCCCAAGGAAAGGTCCCAGTCAGATGAGCCTATAGTGAATACCACCCAACAACTCAATACTTGCTTTCAAGGTTTTAGTGTTTCCCTCTTAAAAAAAAGCCTCAAAAGGCTAAGGACCACCAACATATTTGGAAGAAACATAAGAACACTTCAGAAAAGTGATGAAATACCCAAGGTGTCTGAATATACTGGAAGGAGATTTAGACAACTGTGGGGGAGCTGCATAGAAAACTAGGCAAAGAAACAAAAATCGAAACATTAATTTTAGAGGAGAAAACAAAGTTGTACAGGAAAGGAAATGTAATCAAAACGTACTACATGGCTCAGTAATGAATACCATTAACACAGTCATAATACTGCAAACACTGAATACTGTTCTAACCAAAACTATGACGGGAAAATGGCAGGACAAGGACAGGTGTGTGAAAACAGCCTGGGATGGGGATGCAATTTTGGATAAGAAAGCAAGCTGAACCATCATCTTGGATAGCGGGAAGTTAACAGATAACTCCTATAATTGAAAAATCAAGAAGTAGCTCATGAACACCTTATTTAGAGGTACGGAAGTAATCGCCAAATAAACCAGATGGACTAATTTAAAATGGCTGGCTCTGAGGAAAGGGAAATTTGAGAACTGTTGGTGGTGGGAAGAACTGTCCTTTTTTATTATAAGAATAACAACACATTTTGATTCTTTAAATACATACATGTATAACTTCCATTTAAAAAAAGAAAATGCCCACACGCTCATAAACACAGAAAATGTTCTCTCTCTTTTCTCTTTTTTCTTTCTAAATCTTAAAGGCAAGAGAGAATATGGTATACACAAGGAACTTAAAACATAGTAGGAACCCAGGATGCGAAAGGAAGAATGAGAATAAACAATACTGGAGATATAGGTAAATGCTGTTTCTTAGGAGTTAACAAATGATATAAAATTGATGGTTTATATTGGGACAATCAGGAAAATGTAAATATGAACTAGGTATAATAATTGTATTGTAATTATGTAGAAAAAGGTCTTTTTTTAGAGATATCTATGGAAATATCTAGCAGTGAAATGTCACAATTTCTATAATTTACTTTAAATATTTTTCATAAATTAGATAAAACAAATATTGCAAAATGTTAAGAATTCTTAAATCTAGGTGATAGATACATGGGTATTTATCACATTATTTCTACTTCTCAGGACATTTGAAATTTTTCATAATAAAAAGTCAAGAAAAAGTTACTTTGTAAAGCCAATGCATGAGGTAATGAGTTGCATTTCCATGTCTGTCTTTAAAGGGGGATAGGTTGAAGAGGAGAGACTAGGAAGAGTCTCTGGTTATCTTACCATATCCCGCCATAGAAGCACCATTCTCGACATCCACTGTGTTCTTATTTTCCTCTGCTAGAGCTTTAACATATCTTTTGCTTAAATCTAGTATTTGTTCGCGTAACTTGACACTGCTTTGATGTCTTGGTTGTTGAAAAGTGTAGTGCAGTAACATCAATCCCCAAATGAGTCCAAATACAAGCAACAGTAAACTCAACTTCTGGGACATGTTTTTTCTTGAGATTGTAAAAATCATTTCTGATGAAGCAAACAGACTCAAGTGAAAAGTGGTAACTAGAGGTAAGTCACCAATCAAGACTTTTAAAGGAAAAAGAAAAAAAATCTCCTCATCTAAAACTGTATATTCTTCATCTTGAGCAAGGTTGCCTCCAACTCTCTCAACTCTGCAAAATTGAGAAAAAAAAAAAGCAATTAGTATTAACCTATATCAGTGACAGAATAGACAATGACAGATTTAAGAAGAGATTCTATAAATAGTTTTGATTTGGAACTATATCATCTTCTTTGACAATTTTCTCCACCACTAAGCAAGCTTCCATGTCTTTTTCAGTCTCATTTATATGCTCTTCAAAAAATTTAAGTAGAGGGGCCAGCCTGGTGGTACAGCGGTTAAGTTCACATGTTCCACTTCAGTGACCCGGGGTTCACGGGTTCAGATCCCGGTTGCGGACCAACACACTGCTTGTCAAGCCATGCTTCGGCAGGCATCCCACAGATAAAACAGAGGAAGATGGGCGTGGAGGTTAGCTCAGGGCTAGTCTTCCTCAGCAAAGCGAGGAGGATTGGCAGCAGATGTTAGCTCAGAGCTAATCTTCCTCAAAAAAAAAAAATTTTTTTAACTAGAAATAAATGTCAATTCATTGAAAATATCTGAAAAAGAAATGCCACCATGGTCACGAAAGTCTTTCAATGACTTATCATTTGTGACTAAAACTATGGATATACAATTAAGATTTACAGGCAATCTCAGTCTATTCAAATACAGGTCACCAACCTAAACATCTAAAAGCTATTTCTCCTCCTCCTCCTCCTTTAAAAACAAAAAAGGTAGATGCCATGAGGAAAGGTGAAACAGACTTGAAAATCAAAATGCCTGTCAAAAAAAAAAATCCCACAATATAAGTAAGTGTGCCAATATTTGAAAACGTCACTAGAAAATACTACTAACGGCAATGAGATAATCTTAAGAAGCATACAACCTAAAATGAAAAGTTATAATATCTAAGTTTATACTTCTAAGTTTATGCCAGTCATAATGACAAGTGCTAAAACAAGTTAGAATTTTTCCCCCAAATTTACAATTCTATTTTTTTTTTTTTTGAGGAAGATTAGCCCTGAGCTAAGTACTGCCAATCTTCTTCTTTTTGCTGAGGAAGACTGGCCCTGAGCTAACATCCGTGCCCATCTTCCTCTACTTTATATGTGGGATGCCTACCACACCATGGTGTGCCAAGCAGTGCCATGTCCGCACCTGGGATCCGAACCAGTAAACCCCAGGCCGCCAAGAAGCGGAACGTGTGAACTTAACCACTGTGCCACTGGGCCAGCCCCCCCAAATTTACAATTCTAAATTTTAAATGATGTAGGTATGTATTTTTATAATTTAAGGAAACACTGAAAGGTCATATTTCACTTTTGTAAAAAAGAGAAAGGTGATGACCATTATGGAATCTAGAAAGACCTGGAGAATAATAATGTATGAATCCCCAAAGTATCCAGTGAAGTAAACTCTTCAATTATCTCTAATGGAGTAAAATTCTTCAGATAGAAATAAACCTGGAGTCAAAAATGCATTTCTGGAGCTGGCCCTGTGGCCGAGTGGTTAAGTTCACGCACTCCGCTTTGGTGGCCCAGGGTTTTGCTGGTTCAAATCCTGGGCACAGACATGGTACCACTTGTCAGGCCACGTTGAGGTGGTGTCCCACATGCCACAACCAGAAGGACCCACAACTAAAATGTACAACTATGTACTGGGGGGATTTGGAGAGAAAAAAGCAGAAATAAAGTGCATTTCACAGGGGGGCCAGCCCCATACTTGAGTGGTTAAGTTTGCAGGCTCTGCTTCAGCAGCCTGGGGTTCACCAGTTCAGATCCTGGGCAAGGACCTAGCACCACATGTCAAGCAACACTGTGGCAGCACCCCACACAGAAGAACTAGAATGACCTACAACTAAGATATACAACTCAGGGCCAACTGGCTCAGGACCAATCTTCCTCACTAAAAAAAAAAAAAAAAAAAAAAAAAAAAAGCCTATCACACCTTAATGAAAATAATCTTTAACTTTTCAACTTTCTGAAGTATGGGCACATAAAAATATCAATTTTAATGCACTTAATAGGGTATAATCACATAACTAAACTAATAAAATCTAGCTTGAGGATAAGACTACAAATGAATACAGTGTCAATAAAGGTAAACTCTGCAGAGCATTCACCCACTTTCAACAGCTATTTCCCGAGCCAGCATACGTGCTAGGTACTAGGGAAACTGTGGTTCTGCCTGAGAAATTTGCTTTCTAGCACAGGTGCTTTCAAACTCCTTTTTTATATAACAAAAATAAAGTATTTTCTAATCTTATGCAAAATGCCAAAATACAAAACACAATCGAAACTTCTCCAGTAGATGTTTGTGTGTTGAGGAATATGTAAGTGGGGGACCTTCTGCCCCGCCAATTCACCTGTCCTGTTCAGAAAACTCCCCCTCCTCCTTTCCCCCAGCCTGCCACCCATCCCCCCTCGGACACCTCTAATAAATTCTGGGGCTGCAAGGTTTGACAAACACCCTCTGTTCCTGTTGAAGTATACCGACCTGCCCAACCTCACTACAAACATGACTGCACCACTAACTGCGTCTATTAATTACAATAGTAGAGTGATAACTGCATGAAAAATTAGGAAGTAACTCCTTTTCAAATTTTCTTCTACTTATGCTTATTTCTTTAGTTATCATACACAGAGTAAATCTCTTCAGATCTTATTGAAACAGTACCATTAATAGCAATACTGGATTACTAAACTTTGCTTAGCAAAGTCAGGTAAACGTAACCTATTTTTTCTACAGAGATTTTACATTTGACTTGAGTTCAGAAAGTGGAAATTCTTGATTCCCAAGAAAATTTTTTTTTTAAAAATTATACACGTATATTAAATTTCTTCTTCCTTTATAAATCTTTACGAGCTCCTATGTCTTTTCAAGTTTCACCTGTGTGCTACATTATCTGACCTAGCACCCAATGGAAGGATGAACTGGGAACCTGTCCTGAAGCGGTCACAACAGGATTCTAAAGCCGTCTTACCACAAAGCCAGAAAAGTGACATCCCTGGAGAACTGACTCCTAGGTATTTTGGCAAATAAAGGCTAAAATGACAGCCTAGAAAGTTCTACGTCACTATACACATCCAAGACCAAAAAGGAAGAGACACAAAACCAGAGGCAAAGAAGGTATTTCAGTTAAATAACAGCAACAACCATTACTACAATCACTCACTTCACACCAGATTCTGCTCTAAGTTCCTTATACGAAATAACTCATTTAATCTTCACAACATCCCATACTAATAATATTACCACTTAACAGGTAAAAACAAAACAAAACTGAAGCAAAGAAAACTTAAATAATTTGCCCCAGGTCGTACAACTGGATGGTGGAAGAGACAGAAGTCAAAGTTCAGGCTCTTAACTACCGCCCCTCTTTCATAGCAAGGGCAACAGAAACTGGGTGAACAGTTACTAAGTTCTTATCATGTGCCTAACTCTGAAGTAAACATTTCACAAGGGTTATTTCATTTAATATTTTCAATAACCCCCAAAGAAAGATGTTGTGTTGTTATTCTCACTTTAAAGGTGACCAAATTAAGGCTTAGAGGTTAACCTACCTAAGATTTTTACCCAGGCCAGCTGACTACACTCGCCTGTACTGTGGCAAGAGGTACAAGTCCACAAGTTCAGAATCTGTAGCTCCATTTAGAGTCTGTCTTTTCCTTTAAAGAGGGTGGTTAAATCCAGCCCTCTAGAACTCGTAGCTTTTACAAAACTCCACGAAAGTGACAAATCCCAAGACTGTAATGGCATTAGGCAGAGAACAGGAGACTCATTGGGTGTAGGGGGTGGATAGTCAAACAGGGAGTCTAATCTCTAAGAGGTCAAGTCCTTCCGAGTAGGTACAAGCTTGAGAATGAAAGGCTGCTCACCACCATGAACTCTGCCTAAAGGGTCAGTGGCAGTAGCACCACTAGGCAGAAGCATAGCTGAGAACGATATGCCCCCAAAGTAATAAATCTCAGGGACCAAGGAGGCCTAACTTAAACCTAAAATTTCTCCGTGTGAAGGGCCCAAAGATCTAAGCTGCAAAAATTAAATTAAGAGCCCCTTATTCCTCTCTATTGACTGTACATTACCCAACTGTACCATCAGATTCAGAGAAGAGGCCTTCATGAAAGGTCCTCCTAGCCTTGACTCTATATGGAATCGGTCTGCTCAGCACTGCCCTCAACAAAGCTAAAGCAGCTCGTCTCAGAGGGAAGTCGGGAACTTTCACAGGGACTGCTACCGTAAGAAATGTATATGCTGTGTAACTCGCTTGTGTTTGTTATACACTTTCCTATAGTGATAAGTAGTAAAACATTTAATATGAAAAGGGTTTCTTTGGGAATAGCATAGTGAGAAGCTGGGAGCAGTTAATCCCACTCTGCACTAGGGAACTACAAAAGGACACCAAGGAATAAAGGGGATATGGAGCTACCAGGAAGAAAGGACCCCCTGCAGCCCTCTCCAAGTTAAAAAGATGGCCAGGAGGCAGCTTATGACAGAGGGCAGAGTAGTACAAAAGTCCCTGAGAATTCTCTTAGTCAATCCAAGAAAGCCTGAAAACTGTTCTTTCTATCTAAGGGTTCATTTCCACAAGCAACTGCAAGCAAGCCCAGCAGAGGTGACTAAGATTCTAAAAGGACACAATTCCGCCTTCGGTATCTTCTCAGAGAACACTTCACATTAAAATCATCTGGAGAGTTTTTTAAAAGTCCCAATGCCAGGTTCCACCCTATATCAATTAAATTAGAACGTCTGGGAGTGGAAGCCAGGCATTGGTGTTTTTTAAAGAGCCCTAGGTTATGCCAATGTGCAGCAAAGTTTGGGAACCACTGTCCAAATCTTAAATTTCTTCATAAAGTAGCAATGATAGACAGCTACAGGTAGGGTCACTAAATTCAAAGTTACAAGTCAGTTCATCAGGTGTGACATAGGATTCCTGCCTGGACCTACCTATAACGACCGTGAAGGAGAAAGGGTAAGGGGATGAGAAAACACTTTGCTGGAATCCAAGTCATTCCTGCCAGGGCGGGTGAGGCCCTGTATTTACCAGGCAGGGGTGGAGGTGGAGTGAAGAGAAAGCAATTTCCACTGGTCCCACTTTCATTCCTAGGCTGATTATGAATACACTGTTCTATCCTCTTGAGAGAGATTTCTGCAATTTCATATAGAAAAAAAGCAGATAAGAAGTTCTGAATTCTTTAGCAACTAAAGGTAATTTACCTTAGTACTTTTAAAGAGAAATAATTCTTAGACTCAATCTTTATGAAAGAAAAAGAAAAGGGAGGGTTCAGTGTCTCTTTCTATGCAAGGTTCACAGCTGCAAATGACAGAGGAAGTTGCACTTTGAACCTCTCCAATTTTTCTGTATGTTTCAAGTACTCGTCCAGCTCCTGGAATACCACCGAGGTCAGGATGGAGACAATAACCAGAAACTTAAAAGGTTTACACTGTCACCGAGGACTCATGGCTATCATCTAGCATAGTATTTATCAGAATCCTTGCTCCACCAAAATAGTCTACATCTAAAAGCTTTTTAATCCTAACTTCTAGACCACTATATTGTCTACCAATCACTCAAAAAAATAAAACTTCAAATTGTTCCCAAGAAACACTGGAGAATTTTTAAAGGCAAAAATAAAATCATCATTACCTTTATCATCATTATTATTTTGACCTAAGATAGACTCCTGTAGGGGAGAAAGACATTTCCTCTACCCGATGTGGGTTCGTCTGGCCAGAGAACGAATTAAATTCACATGAGACAGAATAGCAGGAGAAAATTAAACAAAGCTTTATAACATGTATACATGGGAGAAGTCAGGCAAGCTGAGCAACTCGCCAAAATGGCTGAAGCCCTCCCCTTAAATATCATAGCCAGCAAAAAGACAAAGGAGGATACTGGGGGTGGGGGAAGTCAGTTACAGCAGGTTACCAGAAACAGGAATCAGATTTTTATGCAGATTTAAGTCCTTGCCTTTGGTATTGATTAAGAGTTTCTAGAGAGAAGGTCATCCCCTTTCTTCTTCCTGGTACTGAGAGGGAGGCACCTTTACAGATAGAGATTTCCTTTACAATGTAAATGTCTCCTAACAAAGGGCAAGCAAGTTCCACCCCTCAGAGCCTCCTTCCCTGTCCCAGTTTATCAAAAGCAATCAGCCTCAAATAATCCTCATGCCAAAGAGACATATCTTGGCATGGCCAAGACCAGTCCCCCACACTCCTAAATATTTTTAGGATTCCCAGGGGAAAGTCCTCACTAAACTGCAGAAATTACAAAAGGAATTACAGTCCACATGGTCCAAAAGGAGAAGAATTAAGGAGAGGAGACACACTTAAAATGAAGTAACTGCAGAGTACTAGATTTGAAGAGGGGCAACAGAGTGAGGTCCAAGTACCATCATCTCCAATGGGATTACTGCAGCTGCTTCTCAAGTGCTTTCCTAGATCCCTCTCCAACCCCACTTCCAGCCATAGTCCTCAGAGCAGCCAAAAATGTTCTTTTAAAAACAAGCCATGACTCAAATGGCCACAATTTGAATATTTCTCCAAAAGAGATATGCAAATAGCCAAAAAGCACATGAAAAGATGCTCAAACCACTAACCACTAAGGAAATGCAAATTAAAACTACACTGAAATACCACTTCACAACCATTAGGATGACTATGAAGGGCATCAGTGTATACCAGCCTAAAATATGCCTCTTTGGTATAAAGACTATTTTGAGCTGAAGATAACTGAGAAAAAGCAAATGCAGGAAGGGCTCCCTGCCCTCCCCCTTTCAACCTAAAAGCAAGACATGAATTTCCGGTGAGAAAGGTGAGAACATTCTTATCACAGGATACCAGGAGTTGATGCTGAGATTAATCTGTAGAAGCACACCTTAACTAAAACAGCCCTTATCTTTCATTCATTTCCCCCATATATCTACCTTCCCACAATTTACTGCCTCTAGAAGATCAAACTCCTTTTCCTTTGTCTTGTCACATCTCCACAATTTATGGGTCTTTAAATGGTGTATAAGCTCTCGGGACTAACTGCTTCTTTGGAGGTTTCACTTCATTTCTGTGAAGCCTGTAATTTGCATACATACAATTGCAAATAAACCTTTTTCTCCTGTTAATCTGTCTTTTATCAGTTTAATTTGCAGAGTCCCAGGTACTGAACCTAAGAAGGTAGAGGAATAAGTTTTTTGCCTTCCGCTACAGCTATTATCAAACAAATAAAAACAGCAAGTGTTGGTGCAAATGTGGAAAAACTGAAACTCTTGTGCACTGCTGATGGGAGGGAAAAATGGTACAGTTGCTGGGGAAAACAATACGGCAGTTCCTCAAAGAATTAAACACAGAATTACCGTATGGTCCAGCAATTCCACTTCTGGGTATAATCACAAAAGAATCGAAGGACAGACTCAAAGAGATACTTGTACTCGCATGTTCGCTGCAGTATTATTCACAATAACCAAAAGGTGGAAACAACCCAACTGTCCATCAACAAACGAAGAGACCAACAAAATTCGATATATACATACAATGGAATATTATTCAGCCTTAAAAGAAAATTCTCATACAAGCTACACCATGGATGAATTTTAAAGACATTACACTAAATTAAGCCAGACACAAAAGGGACAAATATTGAATGATTCTACTTAGAGAGGTACCTAGAATAGTCAGAGACATAGAGACAGAAAGGAGAATGGTAGCTACCAGGGGCTTGGGGGATAGGAGAATGGAGAGTTATGGTTTAAAGTTTAGGGTACAGAGTTTCACTTTGCGATGATGAAAAAGTTCTGGAGATGCATAGTGGTAATAATTGCACAACAACGTGAATGTACTTAATGCCACTGAACTATATACTTAAAAATGGTTAAAATAGTACATTTTATGTTGTGTATTTTTTATCATATACATACACACAAAAGAAGTCATCACATCACTCCTCTGCTTAAAAACCCTTCACCAATTTCCCATTGCATTTAGAATAAAATTAGCACTCTTTACCACAGCCACAGGCCCTGCATAATCTGACTTCCACCCTCCTCTCTCTGTCCTAATCTCACACCAGTTCCCTGTTGCTCACTGTACTACAGTCACTCAGCAAAACACACCAAATTCTTCAGGGTCTCTACAACTGCTGTTCCCCTGTTTAGAATGCTCTTCCTGCCGATGGCTCCTTTTCATCCTTTAGTATTTAGCTCAAATGTCACCTCTTCAAAAAGTAGCCTTCCCATTCCAGCCTCAAGGTACTTCTATCATTCTCCATGTGAAATTACATATTCTACCTTAAAACCTTGAGCAAGTTATTTTATCTCCCTAAACCCTAATGTCCTCGCTTACATAACGGGGACAACAGTACCTAACCTAATACTGGCAAGGAAAAGTGATACCTCATACTTCTCAATAAATACTAACCTTTATTATTAGTGTCAGGCTCTTAGGCAGCAACGCCAGTAATTCTTGACAATCTGAGTAACTTGAGTTAATACAGGGGATGTTTTACTAGACTCAAACAAAACTCTTTTGATTAGCTCTCACGGCCCTCCATAATGCAGTCCCCAAAGACCAAATTTATTTCCCATTAGTCACAAAAATATCTCTCCCAATCAAGCCAGTCTTCTCCCCGTCTCATACAACAGTAATAATAATACCTTACATTTATGTAATATTTTTATTTACCGAGCATGCTTCCTTCTGTCCTCTCATTCAGTTAGTAATAGTCAGCTATCAGAGAGGCTGTAGGCTTGAAAGTTTCTACTCAGAATCTGTGGACAACATGAAATATTTCATTGGTACCAGTCACTGAAGAATTACGCAGTCCTAAAGATGACATAACAGCATGTTGTTGGTAAGAACAGTTCATCTTCCAAATAGCCGACAATGAGACGAGAGCATCTATTTAAATGCTACCTTAGCCAGAAGGATTTCAAAACCTCATTACTTTACTCTAGCCCACGCTGATTGTCTTCTAACTCCCACAGCACATTACTTTATACCAAGTGATTTTACACAGCATATCATCCAATCACGTGTATGAGCCTTGTCTCCTAAGTCCCAGGTCCTGAAGAGCCAGAGTACCATGCCCTACACTGCTGCCACAACTCCCACAGAGCCGGGTGAATGACCAGCAATCACTGAGAGAGGTCTCATACTTTACTTTAAACACATCCCTGAGCCTAACCTCACCTTCTCCCAAGCAGCAATGGGACCTCCCTGCCATGTTTTCAGGGCAGAGGAAACAGAAATTTCAAGGTAAAATTAAAGTATCTTCAATTATCCATTTCTGTGTTGGAAGAACCTGAGAAGAAATCTAATCCAATCCCTTCATATTTCAGATGAAGAAACTAAAGCCCAGAGATGTTCAGGGTCTTGCCCAAAATGCGACCATCAATTATGGCAGAAACTGTACTGGTCCAGAACACAGGTCCTGACTCACTGTCTAAGTTTTTCTCTATACCACACTACCTCCCTTACCTCCCCTAGAAAGACTGTGTTTATAAATACTGAATGAATTGTACCATTAAATGAAGCTTGTTCTTTTTTGCTTTAAAAAGAATGTAACCAGAAGATAGTCATGGCAGTTTAGGGCAATGATCGTAAAATTCTGAAGATGTATCACTTGGACTATTCATTAAATTATCAAGTTGGCACATTAAAGTTTCAAATATGCTTTATTCATATAAATCAAAGTATTACAAAGTCACTGCAAGAAGGATCTAAGAAACTTTAGATCTTTGTTTTACATAGGCAAAAAACTACAACAGAAAAAACATGCAGCAAAACAAAGATAAATACAAGGTCTTCTGGATATAAACACCTTAACATGATCAGCAAAACATTGATAAGAAAGAACACATTTCCAGAAAAAAGAATTGGGTGGGGTGCACAAAGGCCCAGACCCAAACACAACCTTTACTACATGCCCCTTTCTTTTCAGCAGGAAAGAACCTGGATTATTCATTCATTTGCTCACTTATTCATTCACAATATATATTAAAGCACCTACTACACGCCAGAAACTGGAGATGTGAAAGGTGAAACAAGATAAGACAGGATTCTTGTTCTTCTGGAGATTATGCTTTGGTAGGAGTGGGACCATAAACAAGCAAACAAAGAAACAAGCTAATTGCAGCTTGTGAGAAATTGCTATGAAAAAAATAAACAGGGCAATGTGAGATTGTGTGAGGAGTCTACGTGAGGTGTGAGGTCAAGGAAGGCCCTCCAAGGAGGTCTGATCTGAAAAAAAAGAAAAAAAAGGAAGTACAAAGTCTGGTTCCAATTTCGTTCCAACTAAAACCTTTAGAATTCTTTTCCAACCAGAATCTTGGAAGCAGGCAGTAAATTCCTTATTCCTACTCTTCTCAGTATAAACTAATGAGAATGAGAAGGATCTCAATCCCCAGCATGGAACAGCCTGGTTTGGAGAAATTGTCCACAATGAACAGAAGGAAACTCACTAGCAAAGAAAGCTTTGTGTTCCCCTTTCTTATGAGAATGGCACTTCCGCTGTTGGTAATACACAGGAACAGTAATGATGTGATATGGTGATCTTTACATAGAAAAACATGTTCTTATCAGCATTTCCTAACATTAAGGGGGCAGTGGCAAAATGCGGTATGGAATAAAGTCTAGGTAGCAGTCCAACAGCATGTTAACCTATAACTGTTATTAAGCATTTTAAATACAGTTTTTTGAACTCTAAAACATTCTTTGTTAAAGAACACTAAAGTAGGAAAACAAAGAACATGGGGAAATTTTTTTCTTAATTTTCATATTTATTACAGGCCTTAATGTCTCCACTCCAGTTTACAAGATCTTTGGCTGTCAGTAAATTGCCCAAGATCTGTTCAAAGCTCTATTACACTACTCGCCGAACAGCAAACATGTCAACAGCTAGATATTTAAGCAATTTTCCAGCAGTTTCTCCCTAGCCAGGGACTTAAAGACAAATATATTAGTCCAACATTATTACTAGGGAAAAGTAAAGACAGAGAATCAGCGAATATTTAAACCAGAATGCCCTCATCTGAAAGATAAGGAAAGTGAAGCACAAAGAGGACTGATGACTACCAAGGTCAAATGGGGGAAACGAGGCATCCAAACGCTCAGCCCAGGACTCCAGAGTTTTTCAAAAGCAAGGAACAAAAATCAACATTAATAGTTTGCAACTGGCACTTTTTTAAAAAACAAGATAAAATAGAAACCATCAGAGCAAACTGTATGCACTACAGATTTTATTTTGTGAAACTTTTCTTTCAGTTTTCTATATATGTATGTATCTTTTTCATACACAGACAGGCACCTGCACACAGAGTTGCACAAAAAGACTCTATGGAGTCTTGACAAAAAGACCTCTGCTATGGGTTGCAGTTAAAAATTTTAAAAACACTCTTGAAATACTTCCTTGTATTTTTATGCAAACATTGCAACAGCAACATTAAAAACATTAACAGATGGCTAATCCTACCTTAAAAATCTCTCCTTCAAATCCCAATTTTGCATTTATTCATTGCTTTGCTTTTTGTGCTGTTATAACTATAGCTGAAGAGACCGTTGACAGCAGCAACTGGCAAGCAGAGAAGCTCTCACTCAGCCAAAGGTGCTACAAGAATCATGCCTACTTGTCTCCCAAGGAATTTACAGCTAGAGAGGCAGGTTACATACTACAAAAAGACACAGTATGTTCACCAGAGCTCAGAGGTTCAGAGAGTTCTCTGCAAAAAAGACTCCGAAAGAAGTCCTCCACAGACTTGACCTCGGAATGTAATTTCAGGGGAAAAGGCCCATTCCTAAAATATTTTTCTCTACATAATACTGCCTGAGGCTAATATCTGGGGGAAAAATATTTAACATAGGACACAGCCATCCACTCCTAATTAGGTCTAAGATTTAAAATGTGAACAGCCTTGAGAGAAGCTACACTAAAATTCCAGCCATGATACAGAAATATCATATCTTAAGATAGCAGATCATTTTTAGATGGCATATTTGGGAGAGGGGAGGGAAGACGATGATAGCACTGAAGAGCACAAAGATATATAAAAGAAAATGGGTAATGTAAGTCAGGGTTAAGAATAGAAAATGTTAGAGGAAAGGAGAAACTACTCAATCACTATGCCACAGTGAAAGTTAAATCTAAATATATTATACAGTCCTAGAGATTTCAGTCACAGAGCCTGACCTGGCCACAGCCTTGGCCAATCATGTTTTGTGCCATATGACCCCACCTCCTCTTCCACAGCTAACCAGACTAGCATTGGGCAACTTTGCCTGAGACCTCTGACAAAAAGAGGCCTCTAAGAAAACCAGGATGTTGACAGTAGGAACAAAAAGGGAAAGAATTCACCAAAAAACCCACTGAAATTGGATTAAGGGATTGACAAACTAGAGTTATAAAGAGGCAGGCATAAAACTAAACAGAGGCTATGAGTAAAGGAAAAGAGTAGCGAAAAAGAGAACTAAGCATGTCAAAAACGCACAGAAAAGGTGCAGCTCATGAAAGGGAGGAAGGACTGGTTGGCAGAGATTCTTGTTTGTGGTAGCTCTCTAGTTCTTCCATGTATATTCCCTTTCTCAAGGTGGAAAAAACCCCTCAAATACAAATAAATGACAAAAAGAGTTTACCTCAATTTTTTCCCACGTTAAAAAGAATGTCTAAAAACCCTTATCATTGAAAGCATGAGCTAGAAGAGTCCTTGGAATCAGACCAATTCACTATTTTAGCGACGAGGAAATTGAGGACCACAAAGGAACCCAAGGTTACACAGATGGTGACAGAGCTAGGACAAGAATCAAGGTCTCCTATTTCCATAGTCATTACTCTCTTACACTGCACTAAATAACACCAACACAGAAACATTTTTTTTTCAAAATGAGTATTTTTGCCACATGTTTTTAAATGAATCAGAAATCTTTATGTGCATATGCCATCCCCCCACAGTTTAAATAAGTTTTCCACTTGTTTACTCTCTGGCTTTCTGTTATCCTTATGAAATACATTCACTAGATTTCTTCTTTTCTTCTTAAATACTTTTTTTAAATGCATTTGTCTATAAAGACATTACACAGAAAATTCACCAGGCCCCTCTGGCTTTTCCCTATAACTCCACATTCAAAAACTACACTATTCAGGACACGTTATTACACATATTACACAATAGTGTTTGAACTCAATGTGGTACAGAACAGACATTTTAAATGAAAAAGTTCAATTAAGGACCATAAAGATTTCCTTGAAGAAAAACTCATCACCACTGTCAGTAAAATTCAGGAGAAAACAGTAAAAGAACAATCGAAACTAAAGAGGAACTAATGTGAAATGTTTCAAGTCACTCCTTATAAAATTTATTGCATTCATTCAGCTTGTCCTGAGAACAAAAACTACAAGTTGGAAACACAAATTCCAAAGAGGAAAATTACTAACCAATGGGTAAGCGTAGAGAGAGACTGAAAAAAGTAGAGATACGGTAAAGATGGTGAAGCCCCACGCCAGGACTACAGAACACCTAGATGCTTACTCTGCCAAACACTTAAGCTCCTTTAAGGATTCCCCCCAAACGACACAGCGCGGGGGGGGGGGGGGGGGGGGGGGGGGGGGGCACGACACGGTGAATAAATCCTTGTACCTCTAAGGCTGAGCCACAGAAAAGCAGAGTCATCAATTTCCTAAGAACATTCTCAGCCATCCCGAAACAGCGGAAATTAAGAAGATAGCATATTTTAAAGAATTCTTTGCTTACGTTTAAGGTGAACAAGGTATAAAGTGAAGAACACACAGCCTAGGGTGCTAGTGATTAAAGAGAGAAAAGCACAAAACTGACAAATCCAGAGGCCACTTCAGTATAGCCAACGAAAATACCATATTCAAAGGATTCTTCCGTCAAATGAAGAATTAATGGCGTTCTAAGTGTATTATTTCTTATTCTAAGAACTTAAAGGTGTGCCCTGTTATCTCCATTTGATCGATGAGAGAATTCAGGCTTAGAGCCTTTCATTCACCAAGGTCACAAAGCCAGGCAGTGAGTCGATCAGGATTAGAACCCAGGCTGTCTGAGCCGCTCTCAAAACCGCTTGCGAGAGTATAAGCCACAGCCGACAGGGCAGTTTAAGTTTGTCCTTACCAGTCCCCCGGGAGCCGAGTTGTGAAGACGGAGTGAAAAACGGGCATTTGACTTTCTCTCTCTCAAAGTACAACAGAGCTGAGCTGTCAAAAACAGAGAAAGAAGTGAGCGCGGCTGCCGCGCGGGCGCTGCATCCCCGCAGCTCAGGTCCGCCGCTCGCCCGCGCCCGCGGCCCCGGACCGAGCCCGCCCCACGCGCGCTTCCTCGCCCGGGCCCGCGCGGCCGCGGCTGGGCGACCCGGAGGGGCAGGGACAAAAGCCTCTCCGGCCGCGGTGCCCGAGTCGGGTCTCCGGGGAAGCCCAGGGGCAGCGGCTCCGGTGGGGCGGGGACCGGCGGAGGAGGGGCGGCCGCGGGGCCGAGGGGATCCGCGAGAGGCGCGGGCCGGACTGGCAGAGACGCCCCCTCCCCATTACCTTGTCCGTGGGCTCTTCGTCACCGTCGCCGCCGCCAACCGGCTCCCGAGCCAGGGCGGCGCAGCGAAAGCGGATGAGCGGGCGTCGGCTGCGTCCCGCGCTCGCGAAGCAGCCTCCAGGTCGGGATGGAGTAAGGCCGGAGCTGGGAATCAGGGACCAGGTTGGTTCCCAGCTCGTGCAGATTCTACTCTTCTCGTCCCTCGCACTGCGCTTCCGCTCCGCCTCCTGGCCCAGCCCGGCCCTTCCCCCACTTCGACGACCAACAGCCCGCGGCGCGCGGCATTGTGGGGGATGTAGTCCCGGAATGCGGAAGAGGCGGCACGTGCTTCTAGCCCGCCAGCAGCTACTTCAGGTCAGGACCACGCCGTTGCGTGGCAACCAGTGGGGGTGGCCGGTTCCTTCGGATTGGAAGAGGAGCTTACGAGAGGCGTACTCCCTGCTTTAAATAGCGTGCAGGCTTTGAAAGGAGGGTGTGGGCGTTTTACTCCTGACCCTCCCGATGCAGGGAGCTAACAATCCCGATGCTATTGGCTTGAGGCGGAAGGGCTTAGTAGTGATTAACTGTGTGCTGTGGGCAAGAGTGCCGTTCTTGCTCCTGAACGTCCATAGCCAGTGGAGTACGGCAAGAAAAAGAAAAGGGCTAAAGATTGAAAAGGAAGAAACAAAATTATTTTTCACAGATGCACTTATGTTTGCGGCAAATCCAAAAGAATCTACAGATAAATTGTTACAATTAATGAGAATTTAACAAGGTTAACAAATAAAATCGTATTTAAAAAGCTTCTCATTTTTGGTGAGGGAGATTGGCCCTGAGCTAACATCTGTAGCCAATCTTCCTCTTTTTGCTGGAGGAAGATTGTCGCTCAGCTAACATTTGTGCCAGTCTTCCTCTGTTTTGTATGTGGGTTGCATGGCCACTGAGGAGCAGTGTAGGTCTACACCGGGAACCAAACTGGCCTGCCAAAGTGGATGGCCCTGAACTTAACCACTAGGCCACAGAGCATGCCCCCCCCAAATCATATTTTTTAAAAACCAATATTTATATTCCAGGAAAAAAGTTAGATAATTAGATTTTTTTAAAGATACCACTTAACAATAGCTTCAAACAAATATCAAGTCCCTAGAAATAAATCAATCAAAAAAGTGCAAGACCTGTATGAAGAAAACATTTTAAAAAACATTGAAGAGGACCAAAACAAGTAAGAGTTAATAATATGTTCGTGGGGCTGACCCAGTGGCGCAGTGGTTAAGTGCGCACGTTCCAATTCCATGGCCCGGGGTTCACCGGTTCGGATCCTGGGTCGGGACATGGCACGCCATGCTGTGGTAGGCGTCCCACATATAAAGTAGAGGAAGATGAGCACAGATGTTAGCACGGGACCAGTCTTTCTCAGCAAAAAGAGGAGGATTGGCAGCAGTTAGCTCAGGGCTAATCTTTGTCAAAAAAAAAATAATAGTAAAATAGTAATAAAAATAACATGTTCGTGGCTTAGAAGATTCAATACTGGAAGATGTCAAAACTCCCCAAATTTATCTGTAAATCCAGTGCAATTCCAGACAAAATCTCAATAGATTCATGTGTGTGTGTAAGAGAGAGAAAAACATAACAAGTCAGCTTAAAATTTTATGGAAGAGCAAAGACAAGCATCCATGAGGAAGGGGAGGAAGTATAAGAAAGAGGAGGAGGAAGATATGAGCTACCAGATATCAAGCTTTATTATAAAACCATAGTAATTAAAGCAGTGTGGTATTGGATCAAGCACAGACAAATTTACCAAGGGAACAGAACAAAGAGCCTAGAAAGTTTTACCCATACATGGGAATTTGATTTATGTTATGGTGGTGATGCAAAATAAAGGTTTTCAATAATTGGTGGTGGGACAAACAGATTTCCATTTGGAAGGAAAAAAAGTGAAATTGGAATCTTCACATTATACACAAAAATCAATTCCAGATGGATAATGACATAAACTTGAAAAGAAAAACAATAGAGTTTTAGAAGATAAAATAGGAGCATGTATGCATGATGTCAAGGGTAAGGGACAGACTTTTTAAACTAATCCAAAAAACACTAATAATAATAGAAAAACTGATAAATTTGACTACATTAATATTTAAGACTTGGTTTCATCAAATCATGCCATTCAGAGAGTTAAAGAGCAAGCCTCCAAGTCAAATAAGAAATTTACAGCATTCTGCTGTACACCTTAAACTCACACAGAGCTGCATGTCAACTGTATTTCAATAAAAGTAAAAAAAAATTACAGCATGTATAACCACGAAAAGTCTTATCCAGAATATAAAATGAACTACAATCATAAAAAAAGATTTGAACAGCACATCACTAAGGAAGAAATCCAAATAACCAGCAAACATGTGAAAAAGTGTCAACCTCATATGAAAACAAGAAAATTCAAACCACAGTAAAAGAATACCACCCACCAGAAGAACTAAATGAAAAAGTCATTTTCTATGTAGCTAAATGACAGTTACAAGTGTTGACTATGAGTGGAACAGGGAAATTTTCACTTTCCTCTGGGAAGAGTATGTTAGCAGAGCCAGTTGGAAAAATTGTTTGGCCTTATCTACTAAAGTTGAACATAGGCCCATTCATGACCCAGCATGTCACTTCCAGGTGTATACCCTAAGAAAGGCAGGCTCGCGTGCACCAGTATGCCTGTGTTAGAATGTTAACAGCAGTACTATTGTAACAGCTAAAAATTGTAAACAGCCCAATGTCATATATCAACAACAAAATGGATAAATAAATTGTGGTATACTTGTATAATGGAATATAATATAACAGAAAAACAAACAAACTACATGCAACAATATAGATGAATCTTAAAAATAGAAGGTTAAGAAAAAGAAACCACTTACAAAAGAATATATACTGTATTATTCTATTTTTATAAAGTTCAAACATGAATGAAGAATGCATAGTTAGGTGGTAAAACTGTAAAGAAGAACAAAGAAATTGTTACCATAAAAGGGAAGTTAATAGTTCCCTCTAAGACCTAAGGAACCCTGTGGGGAATGGGGTGAGACTGAGAAGGAGCAGTGGGTTGGAATTCTACAAATCTTCTATATGTTGTTATGAGTAGTGGTTACACTGTTGTGGGCTTTATAATAATTCATTAGACTGTATATTTATTGTTTATACATTTTCCGTGTATGTGTTATGTTTCCCAATTTAAAAATAGAAGAGCTTAAGTCTGGAGTCAGATTGCATTCTTTCAATTCTAGGTTCTACAGCTGTATGACCTTGGGCAAGCTCCATAACCTGTCTAAGTTTCAGTTGCCCTATCTGTAAAATGGCAGTAATAAGAGTAAGCATGTCATAGGGACATTGTGAGAATTAAAATGAGAATATGAATTAATGTATATAAAGCAGATTGCATAGTGCTTGGCACGTGGTAAGCCCTCAGGAAATGTTGGATGTTATCACTGTGACTACATTAAAGCATTAACGACTCCAAGGCAAGTAAAATCCTGAGGTGGTCCATTATGGTAGGGAGTAGGGGGAAGACGATAAATATACAAACAGCCACAGCAGAATGTGCTGTCTACTGTATGGAGAGAAAAAACACTTCTGTCTGAATGGGAAAAGTCTGCATGGTAACCAGGCACAAAGGAAAAGAGACAATACAGGTCATGTGCACAAAACATGGGATAATCTGGTCCATATTTCCTGAGCTGTCCAATATGGTAGCCACTAGCCACATGTGGCTTTTGAGAACTTGCAATGTGGCTAGTCTGAGTTAACATGTGCTGTAAGGGTAACATAAAACACCAGTTTTTGTTGTTTTTGTCCAAACATGTGTTTTTAATTCTTTTGGGTTTGCAGGGTTTTAAATGAAAAAGATTTCACAGCTCCAGCCTCCCCGGCAAAGATGCTTTATAACACTGACTCCAGGAAATGGTATAATTAACGTTTCTTAAATGAGAGTATGAATACTTTGAGGGTTTATGCTAATGTGCCAGTACGTACACAAAGCCAAAGGATAAAGATGACACATCTTTTTGAAGCAAACTTACTTAAAGATTGGGGGGACACGGGAAAAATAATGTTTTTTAAAAAAATTGCTTTATTGGGGTCATACTGGCTTACAACATTGTGTATCTTTCAGGTATTCATCACCACATTTCAGTTTCCATATAGGCTGCATTGTGTTCACCACCAACAGTCTGGTTTTTATCTGTCACCACACATATGTGTACACCCCTTTCACCTTCTCCCCACCCCCTTCTCCTCTAGTAACCACTATTCTCCTTATCTATATGTTTGTTTATCTTCCACATATGAGTGAAATCATATGGTATTTGTCTTTATCTGTCAGACTTACTTTGCTCAGCATAATACCCTCAAGGTCCATCCATGTTGTCAAAAAAGGCACAATTTTATCTTTTTTGATGGATGAGTAGTGTTCCATTGTATATACATACCACATGTTTATCCATTCATCTGCTGATGGGCACTTGCGTTGCTTCCATGTCTTGGCTATTGACATACACACCAGTTTTAAAGATTTAATACAAAAACAAATGTAAAATATCTCTAATAGCTTATTTTTATTTTTATTTTTTTGAGGAATATTGGCCCTGAGCTAACGTCTGTGCCAGTCTTCCTCTATTTTATGTGGGATGCTGCCACAGCATGGCCTGATGAGCAGTGCTGGGTCTGCACCCGGGATCCAAACCTGCAAACCCCAGGCCACCGAAGCAGAGCATGCAAACTTAACCACTATGCCACCAGGCTGGCCCTTCTGATAGTTTTTTAATATTGACTATATGTTAATATGATAATATTTTAGATGTATTCAGTTAAATAAAACACATTATTAAAATTAATTCACTTGTTTCTTTTTCCTTTTCAAATGTGACTACAAGAAAAGATAAAATTGCATTATGTGGCTTGCATTATATTTCTATTGGACAACACTGCTATAGAGAAATCTGAAAAAAAAGTCCCACAAACCCAAAAAGGCAGGACAGAGCAAGAACTTAGAAGTCCTTAAATGCCAACTAAGAAAGTTTACTTAATTTGAGAAGCCATGCAAATTTTTAAGTTGGGGAGATGGTTATGTATTTGTCTATGAGACTCTATTTTGCCATCTAATATTTATATATGTTAAACCAATCTCCTATATTAGATTGTAAACACTTACTGTCCAATGTTTCTGTACACTGATAGAAGAGACTCAGTAAATATATTCCTTGGGGAAATGATGATCTCTTCAATAAATGGTGTTGAGCAAATTGGACAGCTACTCGCAAAAGAATGAAACAGAACCACTTTCTTATACCATATACAAAACTATACTAAAAAATGGATTAAAGACTTAAATGTAAGACCTGAAGCCATAAAAGTCCTAGAAGAAAACATAGGCAATGAACTCTTTGACAGTGGTCTTAGCAATATTTTTATGGATCTGTCTCCTCAGCCAAGGGCAACAAAAGCAAAAATAAACAAATGGGACTGCATCAAACTAAAAACCTTGGAAACCATCAACAAAATGAAAAAGCAACATACTGAATGGGAGAAAATATTTTTAAATGATATATCTGATAAGGTGCTAACATCCAAAATGTGTAAAGAACTCATATAACGCAATATCAAAAAAACAAACAATCCCATTAAAAAATGAGTAGAGGGGGCTGGCCCCGTGGCCCAGTGGTTAAGTTCGCATGCTCCGCTGCAGGTGGCCCAGTGTTTTGTTGGTTCGAATCCTGGGCGCGGACATGGCACCGCTCATCAAACCACGCTGAGGAGGCGTCCCACATGCCACAACTGGAAGGACCCACAACTAAGAATATACAACTATGTACTGGGGAGCTTTGGGGAGAAAAAGGAAAAAAAATAAAATCTTAAAAAAAAAAATGAGTAGAGGACCCGAATAGACATTTTTCCAAAGAAGACATACAGATAGTCAACAGACACATGAAAAGATGCTCAGCATCACTCATCATCAGGGAAATGCAAATCAAAACCACAATGAGATATCACCTCACACCTCTCAGGATGGCTATAATCAAAAAGACAACAAATGACAAGTGTTGGCGAGGATGTGGAGAAAAGAGAACCCTTGTGTTCTGTTGATGGGAATGTAAATTGGTGCGACCACTATGCAAAACAGTGTCAAGGTTTCTAAAATTAAAAATAGAACTATCATACAATCCAACAATTCCACTTCTGGGTATGTACCCAAAGGAAACAAAAACACTAACTCATAAAGATATACACACCTCTATGTTCATTGCAGCGTAATTTACAATAGCCAAGATATGGAAGCAAACTAAGCGTCTATCAAAAGAAGAAAAGATAAAGAAAATGTGGTATTTATATACAATCAAATATTACCCAGCTTTATAAAAGAATGAAATCTTGCCATTTGCGAAAACATGGATGGATTAAAGGATATTATGTTAGGTGAAATAAGTCAGACAAAGAAAGACAAATACCATATGATTTCACTTGTATGTGGACTCTTTAAAAAAAAACAAACGAACAAACAAAACAAAACAGAAACAGACTCAGATGCAGAGAACAAACTGGTGGTTGCCAGAGGGGAGGAGGGGAGGAGGTTGGGAGAAATAGGTGAAGGGGACTAAGAGGTACAAACTTGCAATTATAAAATAAATGTCATGGAGATGTAATACGCAGCATAAGGAACATAACTGATAATGTTGTAATAACTTTGCATGGTGACAGATGGCTACTAGACTTATCATGGTGATCATTTTGCAATGTATACAAATGTCCCTTTGTTGTATACCTGAAACTAACATAATATTATATGTCAACTATACTTAATAAAAAAAGAAAAAGAAAAAAAGAATGTAATCAGCTGCTCAAATAAATTTAACCAGAGTTGAAGCCATTCCTTCCTAAAATCAAAGGTATAAACCACAGCCAACTACTATCAGGCCCCAAATAGGAAAGTGCCTTGTCAGCAACATAACAGGGGAGAAGGTAGTCAATTCCTAAAATACAAGGCTAGTAATATCACGCTAATAAGAAAAATAGCCTTTCCAGAGATTAATCGTGTTGTCCCTGAGGAAGAGTTAGTAACTGGACTGGGAAAAGCAATTGGAATTGGAGTACCTACTTCTACTCTTATTTATGAGACAGAGCGTGATGGCTCAGGACTGAAGGATTGCTCAGATTTCCTGAGACCATGAAAAGAACTCAACTAAACCTCTGGGGAATGATGGCTCTTTCCTGAGAGTTTGGAATGAGAACAGGAGGAGAGAGAGACAGGTCAGAAATGAAGGACGCCATTGTTGGAAAGGCTGAAAACTGGAAGCACCTTCCAGTGGGCTTTGAGGGATACATTTGAATTAACAGAATGTTTGTTTCTCCTGCATCGTGCTATGTTTCTGTGATTTGCCTGACCCTTCACGGATGATTCTATTTTTCCACATAGTAGTCCAAAGAGTTTGGTCTGGGGGCCTCTGACAGGCTAGTTGAGGAGGGACCCTGACCTGACCCTCTTCTTTGGGGTTTGGGAATTGAGAGGAGCCTGATTAAAAGCATAATAAAGAGTTGGGCGAAGAAAGGAATTTTAATTATCCTCCCCTTATGTTGAGAACTCATCATATCTTGCCCAATTCAAATTTAGGCCTTCCTTATAGAAAGCAGATCTTATTCATTTAAACTCTCAGACATAAATTGCAAAAAGGAAAAGATAAACATTCAAATTATCAAGATCATAATGACCATTATATTTCCTAGCAACTGAAGGTCATGCTCACAGCAGCTCAATGAGAATGTACAAATATGTATCTTTTTTTGCTAGCTTGCCTAACCACAAAAATTATCTACATTTCCTTCCTTATTATAAAATTCAGAATAATTACCCCATGTAAAGTAAATGAAATGATGAATGCTATTGCATCCAAAACTCATTACCATGCATTTTTTTCCACGTAAGGAGCTAGATTTAGAAATTAAAGTCTCCATATATTCTAAAATAGACAAAATGGATTCAATTTTTAATAGCTGTGTTTCCTAAATCCCAAGGATTAAGCTGCTTTCCTTGGCTATGTCTTAGTTTACCCACTTATTAAAAAATGTATAGGTATCTCTCCACTTATTCTTTCTCAAATAGATTATGAGATCTAGTCAATCAAGATGTATGACACTGCAAATTTAGAGAAAAGATGTTACATAGTGCAGAGTTGTATTAATATTTTGGTCTAAGCCTTACCCAACTTTATTGTATTTAATTCTTATAATCCCAAGAGCTTTGTCTGTCACACATTCCACTTTAACATGTTCTGTAAAATTCATGTGTTCTGATATACTCCGCATTGTACACTACTCAGATCAATCCTCTAGCAGAACAGATAGATGCAGCCTTGAAAGTCTATTCCCTGTCAGATCCATCTATTCCCACCCACGTCCTGTCAGACATCTCTCTCAGATTCCACAAAAAGTGAGAGGGAGGGAATGAAGAGAAAGACTGGCAGGCATGAACTACACTCTCCTCGTTGCCTGCTCCCTGCTCCTATGGCTGATGATAACAAACAGGGCACACAATATCAGGTATCAGACAAATAATTTCATCCACTCAATCACTCCATCAACAAGTATTAATGGAGCATCAACTGCCCAACTTTATGCCTAGTGCTTTGGACAACACATGGCAAGCAAAAAAGAGGCCTGCACTTGATGATTTTACGAGGAGGCTGGGAAAACAAGTTCAACAAGGAAAGTAATGAAAGAGCAATATAGATGTTACTAAATGATATGATACCAGTGATAAGTGTTAAAGAAATTCAAGGTGATATAATGTTTATAATGTGCTTAACTCACATCAGGTGGTGGATAAGTAAAGTTCAGTTATAAAAGGACATTTTTAACTTTGGAACCCTATTCTTCTGTTACCACGACTGTTGGGAACTCATAACAAAATGTTCTATACAATGTATAAAAACTATAGGACCTGTGGAAAAAACATGGTGGCTGATGTTAGTATACTTTTCAAAGCATTTTTGCATTATCTCATCTAATTATTATGACAGTAATAGTTACTGTATAACACTCTGAGAATTACACATGGAAGATATTAGCTCAGCTTTTTTGTTGAGGAAACTAAGGCTCAAAGTAGGGACATGACTTGCCCAAGAAGACACAGCCTGTAGGTGGCAAAGGCAAGATTAGAAACTAGATCTTTTTACATCTCATCTAGGACTCTACTATTTCAATAGTGGTACCAGCCTGTTTTCTGGATTCTAGTGAAATGAAATGAATAAAAAAAGAAGGTATGTCCCTCCCTTTTCCTGTATATGGGATCAACCACAAGAATGATGGGTACTTTAGTTTTCTTTTCTGCAGTCTCCTAGAACCTACACCAACACCTGGCTCCTATTAGGTGTTCTCAGTAAAGACTTGTTGAAGAAGTCAACCCTATACAATATTTGGGGGAAAGTTTGATTTGCTTAAAGCAGAGATTCTCAAAAACCCATCTACAGTTCGGTGATTTGCTGGCTAAATATGGATTTTAAAACAGTAGATTCCAGATCCCCATCTATGGAAATTTTGATTCAGAGAGTCTTGAGGGAGGCCCAGGAATCAATGCTTTTAAAACGATCCTGCAGGGGCCACCCAGTGGCATAGAAGTTAAGTTTGCACACTCTCTTTCCCTGGCCCAGAGTCTGCCGGTTAGGATCTCAGGCGTGGACATACACACCGCTTATCAAGCGATGCTGTGGCAGGCGTCCCACATATAGAGTGGAGGAAGATGGGCACAGATGTTAGCTCGTGATTCTAATGAGCCACTAGGTTTGGAAACCTCTAGTTTAAAGCGTCTTGTTTCTCTTTCTCTCTCCCTCCATCTTATTCTGTAGAGAAGCAAAAAAGCAGAGGGAAGAAAAAGGTAGAGATGAACAAACATGTGGCTCTAGAAAGAGAGCCCTGGAAGAGAACCTGCCCCAGGTCCTGATGGTTTTCAGTTACAGTCCCTTATGAGCCTCAGTTCTGTTTCCACCTATGGATTCATTTATTTAAGTATTCATTCAACAATGTGCCAGGTGCTAGGGAAATAGCAGTGAGCCCTCAAAGTCCCTGCCCTCGTGGCGTGACAGTCCAATGAAGGCAAAATAAATGGATGTTATGTCAGCATATGATAAATGCTATGTGGAAACGTACAGCAAGATAAGAGGATGCAGAGCGGCAAGAGGGATGGGAAGTATTTTATACATGGCAGTCAGGGAAGGCCTATCTCAGATGAGTTCCATGAGACACTTCCATATTTGTAAAATAAATTTGCCTCACCTGAAGCCATCTTGATTGAAGGAGTCAATAGGATTTCTTGATTGCAGACAGCAGAAACTGACTCTAATTATCTTAAGGGAAAAGAAGGAAACATATCAGGGGTTCAATGAATTCATAATAGGCTATGGAACCAAACTGAGAAGATCGATAGGAATTGAAGCCTTGTTGGAGTGTTCAGTGGTCCAACAACTGTCTTTTAACAGGGATAGTCTGGCCAAAATACCTCCACCACTGTTATGTGACACTGCCAGCATTGGCAGGTATGTTTAATGAATCTTAATGATCTCTTCACCTTTGCGTTGTTTGATCCCGACTTCAAGCCACAGGTGGGAGAGGCTGAAGTGCCAAACCTAAGGCCACTTGCCAGTGCTCCAGCTGCCAAGGAAGGAACTCCCTTCTGGGGCCACCAAGGAGAACAGCGCAGTTTCCCCAAAAGCTACCATCTAGTGAGAGATTCCCCAGGTAGGAAGGCCTTGGATACTGGACTACCAAAAAAGACAAAATTCGACTATAGTTTCTGTTTCTTGCTACTAAATCAGCCCTGACGTAACCCCTGGAGAGAGTCTGTAATCTAAGAAGTCTGAACACAGAATGTAAAATTCTATTCTGTCTAAGGACGTTTAATAAGCATTAACTAGACACAATGCCAGGGTGTTGAAGACTCAAATGTGAAGCAAAAAAGGAAAAAAAGCTCCCTGACTTAATAATCCTTAAGGTCTGGACGGGGAGACAAAACATACAAAAAAGAAATTTCAAAATAAGACAGCATTTGCCATGGGCCAAAAAAGTGTTAGTGCTAATGGGAAATAGTTCAACGTAGTGTTTAAAAACCCTTGCTCTAGAACTAGACTGCCTGAGTTTGAATTCTGCCTCCATCTCTTGCTAGGGGCAAAACCCTGGGAACATAAGTTTCTCTGGGCCTCAATTTCCTTGCTTATAAAAATGTGCATAATATAAGTACCTACCTTGTAGAGTTCTGGTGAAGATTAAACTGAGATAATCCATGTAAAACCCTTCAGACTATGGTTGGCCAACACATAGGAAGCACTACTACACGTTAGTTGAATTAATAGCTACTGTATTTCATCAGTATCAGTTGTAAAATACATCATTATTTTATGAATCACAATGAAAGAAAATCACTTCTAATTAAACTCTGATACAACACTTTTCTATAACTTAGAATTTTTCTACACAATCTCATCCTCCATGCCATCAAGAATGATGCTGATGTAGCATTGCTTAAAAGAGTGCTCCTAAATACCTCTGGGATTCCCTACCAAGCTACTGGAATCCATTCTGTAAGTCATTCTGAACATGAATTACATTCGATACATGTGGTACCAATAACGCATTTAACTCAGCTGAAGTGATGACAATTTGAACAGTTATGACCATATTTACAGATAATTACCTCTATGTCATAACTGTCACCCGGCTGATGGTGATTGCAGACACTTCCTGATTTCAGAGATGTTAACATGTGAAAAAATGTGTCTTAGAATTTATAAAATTATTAGCATTTATAAGGGACTCTGAAGAAGACAGGAGTTTGTTCAGGAGCTCAAACTCTGCAGTTTTATAAACCAAAAGGACAAAAAGCAATAGCTTTGACAGATGTTTTCGATGAATCATCTTTGTTGCTGTAAACTTGTAGAAAACTGTTAAAATTGTTACTATAGTGAATACTAAAAAGAAAGTATTTTCAGAACTGCCGGGCCAAACTGATGTACAGAGAAATTTTCTCAGAATCCAAGAACTATAAGGGTGGAAGGGAATAATATGAGACTTGAATCCATCTGTTCTACATCATCCCTGACATCTAAAGATCATCCAGCCTTGGGGCCGGCCCTGTGGCCAAGTGGTTAAGTTTGCGCGCTCTGCTTCGGCTGCCCAGGGTTTCACCAGTTCGAATCCTGGGCACAGACATGGCACCGCTCATCAAGCCATGCTGAGGCAGTGTCCCACATGCCACAACTAGAAGGACCCACAACTAAAAATACACACCTATGTACCCAGGGGGCTTCTGGAATATAAGGAAAAGTCAAAGTTTTAAAAAAAGAAGGATCATCCAGACTTCTTAGAAAAATTCCTCCAGTGGTAGCAAACTCACAACTTTCAAAGGAAGTTTATCTCATCTTAGGGAAACTCTGCTTTAAGTTCTTCCATATATTAAAAAAAAAAAACCTTACTTCCTTTGTCCTGTGTCATCCACATCTTGGCCTGAGTCCTATCCTGAATACCCTCAAATATAATCACTCTTCATTCCACCTCACACCCCGCCCTCCTCCCCCATGTCTTCTCTTTCCCAAGGTCCATCAGTTCTGAGAGTCAACAATTTGGGCTGAGCTCAGCTGTGTGGTTCTTCTCCTAGTCTTACTTAGAATCACTTATGCAGCTATAATCATCTGGCAGCTCAACTGTCACTGGGTAGTCTGAGAAGGCCTCATTCACATGTCTAGTAGTTGTCCTGGCTGTCAGCATCATGCCTGTCCACATGGTCTCTTGTCCCCAAGGGGTCTAGACTACTTTACCAATAGTGTCAGGACAGCAAGAAAGTGACAGCAGAAGCTGCAAGGCCTCTTAAGATTCAGGTTAAGAACTCCCACAATGACAGTTCTGCCACATTCTATTGGCCAAAACAAGAAACAGGCCAGCTCAGATTAAAGAAGATAGGTAAACAGACTCCACTTCTTGTTGAGAGGAGCAGCAAAGTCACAAGGCAAAGGGACATGTGTATAAGGAGGTGCTTAGCATTCTACCTGCATTATCTCACTTACTCTGCTCAACAACCTGTGGAGTAGGCACTATTATTATGTCCTACTAGATATGAGTATGGCTGATACACTAAATAGATAGGACTCATAAGTTATAAGTGGAAAAACAACTGTCTTGCTTTTCTCTACTTTCCATTCAAACCAGTTCTGTAGGGACAAAATCTAAGGCAAGTCCTGTGACTTTTCACTCAGATAATAAACATCTGCTTTTTAGGCTTCTGAAACAGTCTTAGTTCAGTAATTAAAATGTCTGGTCCCATGTAATAAGTTGACTTCCTACTTCTTGTTTTGCAATCATCACAGCACTAACTGATTCAGGCAAGAATCATCAGTGGATGCTAAACACAGTTGGTGAAAGTTTGATGAGGAACGGGAGATTGATATTGTCTCAAAATATCTCCCTTCGAGATAGTTATTGATTACAAATGGGAAACTTGTAACTTTACAGTGGAGAAATCTGGCAGACACCACTTTATCCAAGCGATCAAAGTTAACATGAACAATAATGGGACAAACTGACCCCACATGCCTCCTGATGTGACATAGTAAGAACACAGCATCAGCTATGAAATGTTCCTGCTAAAAATGCAAAACTTCAATCTAATAATGAGGAAACATCCAATAAACTCAAATTGAGAGCTGTTCTACAAAATAAATGGCCTTGGGGCCAGCCCTGTGGCCAAGTGGTTAAGTTCGCACGCTCTGCTTCGGGGGCCCAGGGTTTCACCTGTTTAGATCCTGGGCACGGACATGACACTGCTCATCAGGCCATGCTGAGACAGTGTCCCACATAGCACAGCCAGAAGGATATACAACTAGAATATACAACTATGTATTGGGGAGCTTTGGGGAGAAGAAGGAAAAAAAAAGATTGGCAACAGATGTTAGCTCAAGTGCCAATCTTTAAAAAAATAAATAAATAGGGGCCAGCCCCGTGGCCGAGTGGTTAAGTTTGCGCGCTCTGCTTTGGTGGCCCAGGGTTTTGCTGGTTTGAATCCTGGGCCCAGACATGACACTGTGTGTCAGGCCATGCTGAGGTGGCATCCCACATGCCACAACCAGAAGGACCCACAACTAAAAATACACAACTATGTACCAGGGGGGCTTTGGGAGAAAAATAAAATCTTTAAAATAAATAAATAAATAAATGGCCTGTAATCTTAAAAGTATTAAGTTTATGAAAGACAAAATAATGGCTGAAAAACTGTCCAGATTAAAGGAGAATAAAGACACATAAAACTAAATGAAATGCATGAGAGAGACATCGCTTTGGGGTCAGGGCCTTGCAGGATACTGACACGCACAGTTGTTTCCAAACGTCCTCCTCTAATTCTCAGCCTTCCTCTCAAGGCAGGAGTGTGGTCACCTCAGAGTTGGGAAACCAGTGCTCAATCACCTTCTCTTCAGCTCCGGATTTGGCGACCTTACCCATCACTTTGGAATCTGGGATACTTGATACTTGTTTTGGGGACTCATTCAAAATGGAGACAAAAAGAGTACTATTTTAACATTCCACTACATGAGAAAACTAAGTCTTTAAAGTTTAAGTAACTTATGCTAGGTCACAGATAGTAAAAAAGAAAGTTGGGATTCAAAATTTGGAGTCTTAAATTTTTGCTTACAAATTTCACCTTTGTAGATTTAGCATGTTGTTTTGGGCTATTGTGTCTTTTTAGATCCTGATTAGGTCATTTAAAGAATTTGTTATACCTCTTAATAATTATTTATCAAGCACATACAGTTATGTGCCCTACATACACTGTCTCAGTTTACTTTTTAGAAGTGCATATAGCTATTTTTCCCCTTTAACAGATGAGAAAATTGAGGTTCAGAGAAGTTAAATGACGTGCCTAAGATCTCACAGATAGAAAGGTGTAAAGCCAAGATTCAGAGCCACAGTATCTTAACTCCAAACTCAACTCATATCCATAATCCTATTCACTGTATAAATTTATCTCTAACTATTACCTTACCTCTTTGACAAAGTATTTGAAACAATTTTTAGTGAAATATAAGGATGCATATCAGCCACAAAGTGCAAGGGAGAGAAACACACAACCCAGGAGCGGGAGGTCAGTGGCCAGTTGAGATGATGGAGGTTAAGGAGAGGATGATTACACCAAAACAAAGCACAAAACTAACTAACAAACAAAAACTAACAAAGGGAAGAAACTCAAAATGAGTACAAAAGTGTTCTGAGTTTTCTGGAAGTGAAGTCAGAAAGGAAAATCACCATGAATCACCCAGCTCTCAGGGTAAGGGAAAGAAGAAATGGCAACATTCTACCAAATCATAAGGGATGGGTCCATTATCCATTACTGCACAACAAACCACCCTAAAACTTAGTGGTTTTAAAACAACAACCGCTTTGTTAACTCTTATGATTCTGTGGGTCAACTGGGCTCAGCAGCTGGGTGATGCTGGGACTCCACATCTGGGGGCTCAGTTGGGCTGGAGAGGTTCCATATGACTCCCTCACAAGTCTGGCATGCTGGTGGGCAGCTGGGAGAATTGCTCACCTGGGATACTGGGAGAGCTGGGCCTGTCTCTCTCTGTGTAATCATGGGGCCTCTGCCTCTGCCTCTCCCTCTCCCTCTCCACGTAGCCTCTCCAGTTGGTCTCTTCATGTAGCCTCTTCAGCAGCATAACTGGACTTTGGACAAGGGGTCTCAGAGCTCCTAAAAGGGAGCATGACAAGAAAGTAGAAGTAGACTCTATCAGTTTTCTTAAAGAGTAGGCCTGGAATTGGCACCGTGTCACTTTTGCCACATTCTATTTGTTAACAAATCACTGGCCAGCTGGACTCACTGCGGGGGGGACTACTACACAAGGGTGTGACTATCAGGAGGCACGGTTCACTGGAGCCCTTCTTGGGAGAACAGCTACCACAAAGAGAGATTAACTTTTTTCCCAGCACTTAACTCTAATATGAAACAATTGTATGTATTTTTATAGAATTTTATAGCAAATAAATATATACATAAATATATTTATAGAAAATATATAACTTTGACCATGACTTTTTATGTGACTCTTGAGAAAGTCAAAATATGAAGTAAAATGAGGGAAAAGCTGTTTCTGAGGGAACCCAGAGTAATACATTCCAAACATATTGCTTTATGATAATTTGAATTGATATAGGCATAAAACTTAGGGAATTTATAGAAATGTATGGTTAACATGTCTCTTAGATTATCCCACTTGAATACCTATTGTTTTAACAAGGAATATTTTTATATATTGCACAATATAGCTAATAATTCAAAAACTAAGATGACTGTACTGGTGCCCTCCAGCCAAAAGGTCATCAGGAACATATCTATCATTGACAATGTTAGATGACATCAGGAAACAGGCAATTACATAATTTGTTATCTTAATAAGTCTTATCTAGATATAGAGAAGACTCGAATGAGGCTAAAGCTGTAATTGGTAAAAAAGCAGCACTCACTCATATTTTTCCAGGATAGGGAGATGTTTGATCATTTTTGTGGCTTTGGACAATGTACATGTTTTTTCTTTGTTCAAACGTGATTGAGGAGTGGTCCTTTTTTTTCTTAATCCATCACAATCACAGAGTAGCCTTGTCTGATATTGGTGTTCTGTAAAATTATGTATGTTCAGCAGGTGAACACCAAGGCCTAGCTGTGCATGCCAGGCCAGCTCATAGCAACACCAGTGCCAATAGTACTAACATCACCAGCTGATAGGGCCAAACTAGCAGGGGCTCTTTTCTTCTGTCTCAACTGCAATAGAAAAAAAAAGGAAGTAATTTTAATGCCTAATTACAGGGAACTGATAATACAAATTACAGTATCGTGCATCCATATAATGGAATAGTATGCAGCCATTAAAATGATGCAATGGAAGGCTATTTAATGACGTATAAAGATGTTCTCAATACACTGTTAAATGAAAAGTCTGGTTACAAACCAATATTTACGGTGGAATTATAGTTTGGTAAATTGTATACACACATGCATAGAAAAAAGACTAAGAATATAAACAGTCATATTAAAATTGGCATATCTGATTGCTGAGATTATGGACAAATTTTTCTTTCTGCCACTCTGTATTCTCCAAAGTTTCTCAATGCAGATATATTACTTTTGCAACGAGAAAGGACAGTGTTGTTGCTGCTGTTGTTGGTCTGTGTGTGTGTGTATGTGTATACATGTCTCAGCTTTAATTTTTTTTAATTTTTTTATTGTGGTCATAATAGCTTATAACATAATGAGATTTCCGTTGTACATTATTGTTTGTCATACACCATATAAGTGTGCCCCTCCACCCCTTGTGACCACCCTCCACCCCACTTCCCTCGGTAACCAGTAATTTATTCTATTTGTCCGTAAGTTTGTTTATATTCCACATATGAGTGAAATCATATTCTACTTGTCTTTCTCTGTCTTGCTTATTTCGCATAACATGATGCCCTCAAGGTTCATCCATGTGATTGCGAATGGGACCATTTTATCTTTTTCTACGGCTGAGTAGTGTTCCATTGTATATCTTTACCACATCTTCTTTATCCATTCATCAGTTGATGAGCACTTGGGTTGCTTCCACGTCTTGGCTATTGTGAATAATGCTGCAATGAACAAAGGGGTGCTTAAGTCTCTCTGAATTGTTGATTTCAAGTTATCTGGATAACTACCCAGTAGAGAGATAGCTGGGTCATATGATATTTCTATTTTTGATTTTTTGAAGAATCTCCATACTGTTTTACATAGTGGCCGCACCAGTTTACATTCCCACCAGCGGTGTGTGAGGGTTCCCTTTTCTCCACAACCTCTCCAACATTTGTTATTTTTTGCCTTGGTGATTATAGCCATTCTAATGGGTGTAAGATGATATCTAAGTGTAGTTTTGATTTGCATTTCCCTGATGATTAGTGATTTTGAGCATCTTTTCACGTGCCTATCAGCCATCTGTATATCTTCTTTGGAAAAATCTGTCGTATCTTCTGCCCACTTTTTGATTGAGCTGTTTGTTTTTTTGTAGTTCATTTGTGTGAGCTCTCTATATATTAATGGAGATTAACCCCTTGTTAGATATATGATTTGCAGATATTTTCTTCCAGTTGGTGGGTTGTTTTTTCATTTTGATCTTGGTTTCCTTTGCCTTCCAGAAGTTCTTTAGTCTGATGAAGTCCCACTGCTTTGTTATTTTAGCAAGGCTCACAACATGAGTGAAAACCCAGAAGCAGAGATTCATGGTGAGACCGAAAGGACACTCAAGGGCTTCAGGCACTAGCATGTAGGGCGCAAGATTTGCATTCTAATATGCAAATTAAGGATACTAACTTGTACTTCTCTCCAGATGGGAGTCAAAAAATAGCTTTGAATTTGCTCAAAAGGGTTGGCTCAAACTCCTAGATATCTTTCTTTTCTTTTTTTTTTTTGAGGAAGATTAGCCCTGAGCTAACACCCATGCCCATCTTCCTCTACATTATATATGGGATGCCTGGCACAGTATGGCTTGATAAGCAGTGCATAAGTCTGCACCCAGGATCCAAATCGGTGAACCCCAGGCATGCGAACTTAACTACTAGAACACCGGCCGGCCCCATCAAAGTCCTAGATTTCTGTAGCATTAAGTAAGGAATGAGTGACCAACCACTGTCTGCCAAGCTCTGTTCCAAGCACTTTGAATGTATTAAACCAACTAATCTTCACAATAACCCTAAAACATAAATACTATTATTCCCATTTTACAGATGAGAAAACTCAAAGAGATCAGTCCAGTAACTTTCCTAAAGCTCTATAGCTAACAAGTAGTGGAGCCAGGTTTTGAATGTTTCTAGAGTCTGTGCTCTTAACTTTTGCTTAAAAGATGATGAAGGCAGAATTTAAACATCTTTGTCATAAAATCTCATAAATATTCCTGTATTCTCCTTAGACCTTTAAAAATCTGTCAGGCATCCCAATGGGCCAGCCCTAAATTTCTTAAGCCAAGTAACTGACAGAAATGTCAGGCACCCTCGAGGAGCTTCAGAGTGGAAAATTCTCTTCAGTTCAGTAGTTTCCTATATACTATATCTGCGTGTACGTGTATATAAACATATGTATACAATATTTTTTATTACACAGGTAATACCAGTTGATTGCAAAAAGAATTAAACATATAGAAATATAGAGCATAGGGCCAGCCCAGTGGCGCAGCAGTTAAGTTCTCATGTTCTGCTTCTTGCTGGCTCGGGGTTCCAAGGTTCAGATCCCGGGTGTGGACATGGCACCGTTTGGTAAAAGCCATGCTGTGGTAGACGTCCCACATATAAAGTAGAGGAAGATGGGCATGGATGTTAGCTCAGGGCCAGTCTTCCTCAGCAAAAAGAGGAGGATTGGCAGTAGTTAGCTCAGGGCTAATCTTCCTCAAAAAAAAAAGAAAAAGAAAAAAAAAGAAATACAGAGCATAGAAGCTGAAAATCTCCCAAACCATAGACTTGAACGTTTGTGTCCTCCCCAACATTCATATATTGAAACTTAATCCCCAATGTGATGGTAGTGGGAGGTGATTAAGTCAACAGTGTTGTTAGTGCCATTGTAAAAGAGACCCCAGAGAACTCCTTTGCCCCTTCTGCCATATGAGAACATAGGGAGAAAACGGCTGTTTATGAAGAAAGAAGTGGGCTCTCACCAGACACTGAATCTGCTGCTGCGTTGATCTCAGACTTCCAAGCCTCTAGGACCGTGAGAAAGAAATTTCTGTTGTTTATAAGCCACCCAGTCAATAGTGTTTTGTTATAGCAGCCCTAACAGACTAAGATGTCCTATAATCCCACTGGTCAGTGGAAGGCTCCTCTTTTGGTGTTATTTGTTTTGTTTGTTCCTTTATCTCCAATCCTATTCTCCTCCCCCCATAGGAACCCACTCCAACATACTTAACTGGAGGTTCTTCCAATATCCTTTCCTACATTTCTTTAGGTAAATAGTACAGAGTACTGGTTAAGACTCTGGAGCCAGACTTCCTGATTTGGTCCCAGCTCTGCCGCTTACCAGCTGTGCAACCATGGGCAAGTCACGTAACCTCTATGTGCCTCAGTTTTCTCATCTAAAATATAATGAAGAAAATAATAATACTTACGTCATAGGATTGTTATGAATATTAAACGAGCTAGTATTTATTAAGTGCTTAGAACAGTGTCTGGCACACAGTAGGTGCTATGTAGCTGTTAAATTGATGTCAAATAAATGTCTATTATTGAAAAATATAACTGGCATTCAGTTTCTTTATTTCTCCCAACGTTGGTTTTTTGAGATCTACCCATGTCACAGCATATGAATCTAACTGCATGCCACATTTTACTTGTCTATTCCCTTTGTCAGGCCCACCCTTAACACTTGTGGGGCCTGAGGCAAGAGACCAAAGGAGACCTATATACCACATGTCTAAATATTTAAAAAGTCACGAGCGAAGATAACATACTGTAAAGTTAAATATTCTTTCTCTTTGACAAATATTCCTTCATAAGCACAAAATAGAAACATATCTGTAAAATTCTGATTTTTACATGACTTAAATTGGCAAAACACCTAAAAGAACTAAATTTAATCCTTTTTGCCCATGAGTAGTTATTCTGTTGATGGATTGGTGACATCTGGATGAGTAATAACTTACTATGTAATTTAAAAATTAGATATTTAAAAATTGGAAAAAACTTTATTTTTCTTGCCTTTATTTCAGCAAAATCATTATAATAATTAAAATTTCCGGTTATTTTGTTTTCTATTGGCAGTTATGCCAATTTAGACAAACTTTGCAGATTGGATATAGTTCTTACATAATTTTTTATTAATTTAGAGAAATTTCACTCAGTTTAGGCCATACTTAGATTCAAAAATGAAGCACGAATTTTTAAACTTTTATATTGAGGTGTAACATGCACAATAAAGTGCATATATCTTAAGTGTATAACTCAATATCTTTTTCCACGCTTACACCCATGGAACCACCACCCAGGCCAAGAAATAGATCAGCTCCTCAGAAGGCTCCCTGGTGCCGCTTTCCGGTCTGTACCCGGACAGAATAATCATTATTCTTATCTCTATCCTCATATACCAGGATAAGGAAATGATACTATCGTTCAAACATTGTAGTGCATGTGATAATTTATTATTATGACAAAAAATATTGTAAATATTTTCATTTTACCTCACAAATAGTTTTCAGTTATAATGCCTTTTTCATCTCTTGAAATAATATAAACACCTAGAATATTTCTTTAGTTCTTTAAAAAATTTTCAATGCTGTGATTTTACAAAGAAAACCAAAACTGGAAGTATGCTAATCAATTTGTTCAAATGTCTCTTCACTTGAGACTATATCTTAATCTACATGGCCAGATAACATGATCTATGGAAATTAGAGGTTTTTGGTTTTTGTTTTGAGGAAGATTGTCACAGACCTAACATCTGTGCCAATCTTTCTCTATTTTTTATGTGGGATACCACCACACCGTGGCTTGACAAGCGGTGCTAGGTCCACACCTGGGATCCAAACCCATGAATCTGGGCCAAGTGGAGCGTGTGAACTTAACCACTACGCCACCAGGCCTGCCCCTGGAAATTAGTTTCATGGCTATTTGTACCTGAATCTTATTTATGGAATTTATGTAAAACCTTTTTGTTTCTTTGCTCTAATTTCCTTATGTCCTATTTGAATGGCATCTTTATATTAAACATCTTTTTTTAAAGATTTTATTTTTTCCTTTTTTTCCCCAAAGCCCCCAGTACATAGTTGTATA